GATCTTGAGCAGGGCTCCGTGTATCTCATGCTGTCTAGCAGTTCAGTGGAACCAAGGAGCGGCTCTAGTGGTCCTGCAAAGTTTGGAATAAGTTACATTTTATCTATATGTAGTATGGAAGTTGCACTCAGAAGTTCTTTTGTAGCTATGTATAATATGGATGCTTCCTGCTAACTTGGGCTAACCATTTCACCCTCTCCACTTGAAATCCTAGTACCACAATACAAATATTATTGATTTTCCCTTGAAGCATAAACTAAAAAAAATTGTAGCACGGCTGACCTTTTTCCTACGCAAGCAACACGTGCATTCTATATTTATATGGGCCATGGTTCCAATGACTAAATACATCAACCATTTCTGATTTTTTTATCAACCATTTCTGATTATTCTAACATGAAAGTGCCACCTCCTCTCCCTTTTTTTCCTCACTTCATTAGTGAAGTTGCCATCTCCTCTCCCTTTTTTCCCTCACTTTATGAATGGTTGTTAGGTTAATTCATCCTATGTGCAAGGTTCATGAAGAAGGTTTATGCCATGTGCTTGGTTTGGATTCATCTTATCTATCTTAATATTGCATTTCCAATCATCATTATGTTCTTCACAATCTTTTGCTTTGCTTGCATGTCATTTCTGTCTTGATTCTCTCAAAATTTGGACAATAACTATCTTGTTTTATCAAAATTCTATATTTTTGGTGGTATTTTTCTCATATCATCTACAATTCTTCAAATGATAATTTCTCCAAATTTCCACTTCAAGTCTATGAAAGTGCCTATGATTGAGACCTGCCCAAATATGGAACAAGCCCTGCAAAACTCGACTAACCAAGCCGAACCATACCAAACCCAACCCTTGTACTCCTTCGTCATTGTTTAAATTATGGGGCAAGCTGCCAACTTTTGATCACAGTGGTTTACTTTGTTAAAATTTTTTAAGTTCATATCCAAAATGGCCTTGCAATTCTAAAAATAATTAATTCCACTTTATAATCAAGGCATAATTTATTCTCTCCTTCTCTAATGTTTTGGCTGACCATCCTTCTCTCCTGCACTCATTTCCCTCCCTTCAACCATCAGACTCAAAGAACTATTTTCCTCAACACTCCTCCGCGCTTTATATTTATGCATTATGTTATGTTCCTTGTCAGTTTTCTCAACCTAGCTCATATTATGATGGACCCTTTTGTGCTCCAGCTTCTACACATGATAGGACATCTATCTTTGTGAATTTTCATTCTTCAATAAATGCACTCATCAATTGGTGATTTAATCATAGTTATTTGACCAAACCTAAATCATGTAAGGTGCTAATTTTTAAAACATTTAGTGATACATTTAATAACTTCGTCAACACTCCGCGCTTTATATTTATGCATTATGTTATGTTTCTTGTCAGTTTTCTCAACCTAGCTCATATTATGATGGACCCTTTTGTGCTCCAGCTTCTACACATGATAGGACATCTATCTTTGTGAATTTTCATTCTTCAATAAATGCACTCATCAATTGGTGATTTAATCATAGTTATTTTCATATATCTTAGATCGTTGCATCTTGCGTTGGTTTCTTTCATAGCACATCCTTTTGAGATCTATGGAGATGTATATGATAATGAATATTTTTTGGATGAGCAAGATAAAACAATCTCCATTTTTAATCTTGAGATAGTTGATGACTATTATATTTAGGTTCTCCATAGTTTTTTCCTTCAACAAGCTTTCTAATGGTTGGGATACAAATTAGATGGGTTCAAGAGGCATTGTCAAGGTTGAAGTCCATGAAGAATAAATGCTAAAATTTATTCCATAGTTGGAAGATAAGATCATACAAGATGAAGTTGAACGACTACAAAAAAAGATCCATTAATTGAAGAAAAAGTGTCCACGTCTAAGATCTGCATCCTATGGCTCCATTATATCATGTGATCGTAGAATTCATGCTGCCTTGATTATCTATGCCCTAGCTTTCTACGTTTAGGTTCATGGTTCAACCGATGCAACAACTTGGCAATCACTTCCTCTTACTATTGGTTAAGGGATACTCATGATTGCTGCTACTTGATGCTAGCATTTTCAAAATGCTGAGCAAAAGGCAATGTAAATGTAATGAACTAGGCGCAAAATAAAGCAATATTTTTTACTAACTAGTGGACTCATGATGTGTTTGTGTGTGCGCACACACATACAATAATAATTTATTTGACCAAACCTAAATCATGTACGGTGCTAATTTTTAAAACATGTAGTGATACATTTAATAACCATAATTTTAAGTTATCTAAAAATCTAAAAAATGAATCAATGATATAAAGAATGAAGTGATAAAATAATAATTAAAAATTAAGAATACTTGTGATTCATAGATCAACTAGTGATTGAGGCGAGGCAATATTGAGCTAGAGAGTGCGTGGATGAGGCATGGAGAAGTGCGTGGATGAGGCGTCGAGAAGCATGTAAAGATTGCAAGGAGAAGTACTGCTGCGAAAAAAAAAAAACTTATGAATGAGAAGTTACTAGTGTCAACAATAAGATCTAGTGAGAAACATATAAGAAATCCAATGACAAGAAAGTGTGAATAGGATAATCACCACTAAGTACCTATGGAGGGAGAAAATGAATAACCAACAAGCAACAACCTAATGACTACGAGAACCAATACTAAGAAGCAAACATATATGCTATAGCTATTGCAGTAGATGTTGAACTGAACCATAACATTTGAACTAGTATTTCATTTTTAACTAGAGTCAAATGCACATTGCTAAGACATGATACGATAAAGCACTGCTAAACACACTCATAAAGTGTGTTTTTAATGACACTTCTTGATGCTAAACATTTGAAGGTATTACAACTCATGAATTACTTCGTCTACTTGTAGAATCTCTATCAAATTCTTCGAGAGAATAGTTATTTTGGGGTTAAGAGAATTGATGCAACACATGATTGCTCAATAATATAATTTTTTTGTCATTTTAGATGTTTTCATGTTTCATGTTATTTTTTTAAGTTATGGTAAAGTCCTTATTTTTTCATGAAATGAGAAGTTATAAAAGGGTTTTAGTTATTTGCATTTTTCTCTCTAGTAGGCTCATATATGATGTTTTAAGTTGTTAAATTTTCTAGTGTAAATTATACCAAGGCTACTTATATAAATAGAGTCTAAATTCCTCCTTGAAAGTTGATCACTGTTTTGAAACTGAATCTTTTCTTATTATATCACCAACCCTAGCCTTCTCTCCCTATTTCTTATTTCTTTGTGAGTAGTTGTGATGTTAATCAAGGATCTCCTTACTGTGTCTAAAGATAAAAAAGAACTTCAATGTGCTAAGTTTTGATTCTCTTTATCAAGTCTAATCTCATTTTTAATCATATGTTTTTCCCTCGTCGTCCTTTTATCCACTTAATCATTAGCAGCTATTGTTTTCACAATGAGATGATCAGTGAACCTGTTTTTACTAACTAGAGTATTACTATAAACTTGACAGCGGTTGTGCTGAATGCTTGTTGTAATGGGTAGCTCTTTGCATTTCGTCTGTTGCAATTAGACTAGGTATGCTAATTTGCTTATTCATATGCTGTTTCAGTTACCAATGGAGATTAATTGAGGTGAAGTTGGTTCTCTAATATTGTTTGTTATCAAGTGTTTCTTTTGGGAAAAATCAAAATTGTGTTGCATGAATATACCCATATTTCTTTGGGTATGAACAAGAAGTAATAACTAGAGCTTTCATAGGAGATGAAAGCAATAGCTATTCTTCTCTTTTTCTTCTTACCAAGATAAGTAATTAACTTAGTTATTAAGTATAAAAAAGGGTTATGCTCTTATCAATATAGGATTTGTGGAGAGGTTGATATACTTGGCCTTAGTCTTTCATTGTTGAGTGCCTATTTCTTTGAAATCAAACTCGTGATGTTCAAGTCACAATGGAAATTGTTTTTGTGGACATGATAGTTCTCAATTGCTGAAAATCCCATTTTGTTACTTGCACAAAAGTATCATACAATTATAGATAGATATGGTAGTAGGAATATAAGGTATTTAGTGGTTATTTTTTTTATGCTGTTATGTTAATTATATTCTCTTACCCATCTTAGATGATATGAGTTTCCATCCATGTTATGCAACCTTCTAGTGTAGTGATGTTATTTCATTTTCTTTATCAAATGGTAGATTGGACAAGTAATTTATGGTAATAGAACCCCAAAGGGCAACATGTGCTATATTATAAAGGCACATCATTATTGTGCTATCAATAATAATTGCATAAGCTTATATGTCTGTGTGGCTTGTTGGTTATTTGATGATAATAATCTATATGTGATATCATCTTATGATTATAAAAGTATTGTCTTTCAAGTCATTCAATTTGTGACAATCATGATGATGAGGATGGTGTTCACTTGTTTGATACTTGTACGAGAGCTTAAGTTGTACACTTTATGGAGACTCAAGTGCAAGGGTTGATCTAAGGTTGTATTAGAGTTCATTTTTTCATAGCTTTACCTTACATATATTTGCTACAATTCTATTTTAATGCATTCTTCTTGTTGCTTTTTATAAATTATTTTGGTGAGAAACAACATTTTCTCTACCAATTATGTTTGAATGTGGTAGCTGTAAGAATAATTATTCGACTTATTCAAAAAGTAAAAAGTCTATAATACCCGAAAGAATTTTTTTAAAAAAACTCTTTTTCTTGACAATTTTATAGCTACTTTTATAGGTAGTTGCAGTCGCCCCAATTGGACGTAGAGGTGCCAATTGATGGCACGACATGAATACCCGACTCGAACCCGATCTGAAAAATTTGGGTTTGGGTTGAACCGTTTAACAAATGGGTCGGGTTCATATTCTAATTCTTGACTCATTTAAAAAACTGAGTCATGTCCTGGTCAACCCGTTAATCCGAAAACGACCCAAATTTGATCCGCTCTGGGTTCGCCCTGTCCCCGGGTCCTCATCCTGCAACCTGTAGTCCTGTACTGCACCACGCTTTCGCAGCCTCGCAGGCTTGCACCCACGCTCACGACGCACTAGCAAGTCACACCCGTGCTCACGCCGTCGCGTTGCGAGCTGGCCTTCGCCACTTGCCACCGTTGATTGTAGTTGAACATAAGGTGTAAAGGCTATTATACTGAGTGTAAGAGGGCTTCTCTATCATAAGGAGAGAGATAGTGGAATACTAAGTAAGGGGATCCTTGGGTATGAATGCAGGCTAATTGGGCATCAAATCACGTAAAAAAATCTATTGTTTAATGTAGATTTTTTAAATCTTGATCATTTATGTAATAAACAAGCATGCTTATTATTCTTGGGGTGATTCACATGCCAATGTTCTTATGTCATTGTGATTTAGTAGATTTATTAATTGTGCTATGAAATTTATACTCATACATATAACAAGGTTCTCTTTGTAATCACCATAATCAATGTGTGAACATTTGTTGTTTGGCTTTGATGTTTGATCTTTTAATAATTAGAGCGTATGTCTTCAAGTGAATTGTTATTTTTAAGCTTAACAACTTCACTCACTCACTTTGTATTATACACTTATATCTTAGATTTTAATTGTTTGATTTTGTTGTTTGCGCAAGCTTTTGCTAATCTTGATTGAGTGTTACACTCATACTTGCGCTTGTTGTTCATTTATTCTTTAAGTGGCATAGTCTATCTATCTACTTCCTTATACCTGTTGGATTGATTTAATTCGACGCAACAATGACACTATTTAAGATTTTTCTTTGTTTAATATGCTTGTTCCTGGAAAACATTAACTTAGTTATCACCAGTATGTTATACTTGAGCATTATACATGTCCTCGTATATTAATTAATTTTGTGATTATGGTTCTAATTCATAGAGTTTGAGACTTTTCTCAGGCTTATTTTATACTCGTGGAAAAGCTGTAGAGCAGTCCTCCAAAAACTTTTCAGTATTGAGTAGAGAGCTAGATCCTTCGAAATGCTGCTTTATGCCAAGTTATTTTGGAGCTATTAAGAGACAAAGAACTTTGGAAATGGTTAATATCGGTGCTTTTCATCATAGGCTATTCAGCTCAGCCGCTACAAATGCAAAGAGGAATCCAGCCTTTTCAACTATAAATCCTGATGATGTTCTTCATTTCAAAGAGATATTAGGTCACAAAAACGTTATTCAGGATGAGGATAGATTGCTTGCTGCAAATGTTGATTGGATGCGCAAGTACAAAGGTTCAAGTCAGCTTTTGCTCTTACCTAGAAACACTGAAGAGGTATGTAGAAGCTTACCAAAATTGTTCTCTTAGAAATTAATTAATTCAAGTTTATTTTATTCAATACATGTATAAATGGTGTTAGCTGTTTTTTTTGTTACCATGATTGTTTTCGAGAATGTGAGAGGAGTTTCAAGTTTTCTATATATAGTTTAAAGGGGACAATAACCGGATATGCTATATATTGGTTGAAGAAGAATGCCATGGAAAATTAAGGCTTTTGAATCCTCACTTTCTATTCAGTTTTATGTTACTTGAGGTTTTGTCTATTTTTTTTATATTAATTTTGCATAGCAATTTTATTCTACCCTTTTTATTCTAACCTTTAATGCTAATTTATTATCTACCTTTTTTTTTTGAAAATTTGCAACACATCCTTCTTGAACTTTTAGCATTATTGTTAAGCTCATTGTTTGGAGATGATTGTGATGCTCAACACTTGACACTCACTTATTAGTAGTTCGGAACCACTTCTTCATTATAATTGTCCAAATTTAACATTATAAGTTATCTTCTCATTTGGATTGTCAAATCTCTTGTAACAATGCTACCTACATCTATACATCTAATAACGACTTGGTTTAATAATGATTAGCTTTACATGTACTTAAGTTGCATATCATACATCTGATCTTGTTTTATTACTCGTAAGCCCCCTAATTTCTTAAAACATTATCCATTATTATACATTTCATCTATTTTTAAAGTGATCTCATATATAAGAACTATGTCATTCATAAATATATTTCACCTAAGTACTCATTTAGAATATCTTTTATAACCATCTCCATAGAAAATACAATATATATACATTTAATGTTGGCCCTTAATATAATCCTATGCTTTAGAGAAATTTTGATTACTACTAATGCATCAATGTTCCATCATACAAATTTTAATAAATTCATCATACCTTTGATGTTCACAATTCTTCCTTAATCTAGAAGTAAATCATTAGTTTCATGCTTCTTTATTCATGCTTGCTAATCAGACACGGTTGACTTTTTTTGGCCAAACCAAAAGGTGTTTAGTAATTTATTCGATATTATTTTTTATTATTTTTGGTTATTCAAAATATATAAATCAAGCATACGCATCTTGTGTAAATATTAGTTCATGCTTTATTCCTCAGGTGTCCAAAATTCTTAAATATTGCAACTCCAGATGTTTAGCTGTTGTTCCACAGGGTGGTAATACTGGACTAGTAGGTGGAAGTGTGCCTGTCTATGATGAGGTAATCACTATATCATCCTTTTGTGTGGTTTGTATTTGTGGGCAATATTTCACTTGAACAAGTACGCAATATTTTTTGTTGGCGCTTCAGTGAGGCGAATGCCTCTGCACATAAGTCCCTGAGATAAGATCATTTTATATTGGTTTGCTTTTTTAAAAATACTATTTAGATCCCTAAGATTGAATGGCATTACATTTACATCTTTATCGTGATTGTTTTGTTAAATTTTTTTTAATATCAAATACTCTTACAATATAAGCTTCACCATAAGGACCTCAATGAGTAACATGAGGCTTCTAGGATGAGAAACCTTTATCTTTCTCTCTGCTCTATACTATACCATACTATAGTATGTACTAATATACTATACTTTACTATTTTATAATAAACTATACTTTATTGTACTATATTATAGTATGCTATTCAATGCTATATTATACATCATTGGCATCATATGAGTTGCACCATAATAAATACAATCTTGCAAAGATTTGTGTACAAAAATGCTATAACATGTATTGGAGCGCTAAGTACAAGTGTCACCTACTTTGTATATGGGCCTAGCATGAAGGTCTAACTGTATACTTAATTTAGGGGACATCATATGATTGCTGTATGAGTGAGTAGCTTGCAAAGGTAACCCATGAGGACAATCAAAACATTCCATAAACAATTATTTAAAATTCATGCAGTCATGTGAATATGATATGCTTTTTTTTTTAAAGCAAAATTTTCTAACAAATGAATTGCTATTTGACCAAGAAAGAATTAAATTATATCATAAGGTAGCAACGAAACAAGAAATCATATGATGAAAGAGAAGAACCCGTAGACAATCATTTAAAGTGTCTTGCTTGAAGATTTGTAAATCCTTGATTGTGGTGATATATTTTCTTTCTATATCTGCCCCATCTGACAGAAGATTGGAAACCTTTTGTCAACTTATTTTTCTATATTAGAAATGTTAATATCCGAATCATCAAAATTTAAAGTTGAATCGCCAATATCATCAAAAACAAGATGATCAAGAGGAGCTAATACATCTGTTGGACACAAATCAATGTTATTACATGCATAAGTGCAAGCTTGAAATGAGCCCACACCATCCCTTACCTCACAACTATAATGAAGGGCAGCTAAGACTGTAACAAGAGAATTGAATGGTAGGAAAGCAATCTTCAGATCAATTCTGCCTAATACATCTCCAAGCGAGTTTAAACCTAAGCAATCCCAGTAATTATAGGAGAGAGCTCACCATACACTTAGGGTTGCTATCATTATTGACATTTACATTAGTATATTCAATATTCATTACTTTTACAAACTAAACAAAGAGCTTGTGAATATATTCATGATACCCCAAGTGAGTCCAAAGCTCAAGGGGGATATGTTGGTTAGAACGGCTTGTAGCTATTGACTTTATCATTTTAGGATGGAATTTAAAAACAAATTGATTTGTCATGTCCAATAATCTTACATGCCTTATAGTAGGAAGGAAGACCGTCAAATTCTATATTTTGTTAATAAATACATGTAGAGGTGATGATCCATACTTCCCTTACTAATGGAACATAAACATGTAAGTTCAACCAAAACTTCGACCATAGATGGCCTTAATAGTCTAGTTGCAGCAGCATATACTTTAATATTTTTACCAAAAATAGATCCAAGCTTGTATAGTGTAGATTGATTAAAAAAATGAATATGCAATTGATAGAAAATCAGCCTCATAGGGGTTATAGGAGGCTCTGCAGATTGGTCAAAGAAAGGAGGCCATTTCAACATTCGTAGTGGAAACCGATGCATATAGTAAGACGGATGTGTCAATAGATAAATTAATGAGCACATGATGAGAGCCAAGAAGAAACACGGTTTAATCACTACATAAATCCAAATAAATCATAAATTTACTAAAAACCTTCATACTTGGATATGAAAGAGTTGAATTTTCAATTAACGAGAAAGAAAAAGGGAGCAAATGATTTTGAAATTTTATGTTTTATAAAAAATGTGAGCGGGTTTATGTTGAGAAGAATCAAAGACTTATGATTGGGCTCTAATTAGGAAAATAATGAAAGTTTCAAAGGAGCCAAAGTCACCAGACCCAACTAGGAAGAATAGAAACCCCAGCCCCTTATAGTTTCAATATATTACAGTGAAAGACCACCAACCACCATTGGAATGTCTGCATGACCACTAGGAAAAATATAATCAGAGAGGAATAATGAGCATTAAGAGGAGCTATGGCTACACCAGCATGCTTAGGGGCACAATCAACACCATCAGAGGACGCAAAAAGAGGATCAACAAATGAAAAAGATAGGATAGAGGTGGGTGAGGAGGCAAGGTAATGGATAAGTCCACACTTAAGGCGAAGATAGAGAAGACAACATAGGACATTGGAATAGGATTAGCTGGAGCTATGATGGACGAACGAACTGGAGAAGATTGCACAACAAGAAAAACCTCCCTGACAAAGATTGGCTCGGGGAGATGACAGGGTGAAAGAAGACATTGGCCCATCTTCTGCATGAAACAATGAGGACAATGACCTTAGGTGAGCAATAAGGAGCAAAGAGATTCAAAACCCTACAACGTAAGGCACAGCATGTGGTGACAAGGTGATACCATGAACATGCCACACTAAACTGAGCCAAAAAAAGAGGCATTGAGTATGGGGAAGAGGATGATGCCATAATTGAATCGGTAGTAGAAGATGTCGAAAGGTGATGAGAATGGGAAAATAGGAGGGTGTGAGAGAGTATGATTGAAAGTGATATGATATGAATGCATTGTTACATGATTCTTGTAAAAAAATGTTAATTCATGTATGTGCATGTAAATATATACTTAAAATTCCATAAATAAACTTCTATAGATCTAGATTTATACCATGCATCTATATCAATATTTTTGAGAGCTATTAAAAACAAATGCTAATAATTTGTTTAATTTGTGAATTTTAAATAATCAATAATACAAATGAAAATGTATGAAAATGACTTATGAGTATAAATATTTGAGTAGTACTTTCATGAACTTAGGTCAATGCCTAAATCAATAAGAACATTCACTTTTATTATGTGGTATTTTATGATAATACAAATAAAAATGCATGAAAATTACTTTTATCTTTCTATGAGATAGTTTCATAATCTTTCTCTAGATTTAATTGCTAAAGTCGAGAATTAATTGCAAGGGGTTGCTACAGGTAATAATTCTATTGGTATTATCATCATATTATCTTAGATTTTAGAATTTTTTGGCGTGCATTTATTAACTTTTACTTAGTTATGATATTTCATTATTCCATAGCTTTTTTATGGTTTGTTCCTTGCATTTCAAGTTTTTTTACATCATTTTAAGTTTTTTTTCAAAGTAGTATTTCCATGGTTTTGGAGAGTTCTAGAAAAGAAAGGGTTAATAATGCTTATATTGAAGTCATTAAGGACATTTATGCACGGGCTGTTACTTGTGTTCAAATCTTCCTAGTATTATCCTTTTGCAGTTGGATTACATCAAGGATTATCCTTAAGCCCAATCTTTTTTCTTTAGTCATGGATGTTCTTACTAGATATTTTCAAGAGGATGTACCCCAGTGTATGCTTTTTGTTGATGATATTTTTCTCTTTTATAATACTAGAGAGGAAGCTGAAGGTAAGCTTGAATTATGGAGGTCAACATTAGAATCTAAAGGTTTTTGTTTGAGTAGATCTAAATTGAAAATATGGAGTGTAATTTTAATAGTAATAGATCTAGTGGGGGTTTTGTGACTTTAAGCAATCAAATCATAAATAAGAGTACACATTTTTAGATATCTTAGGTCTATTATTCAAAGTGATGGTGAAATTGATGGAGATATTATTAGTAGAATCCTAGTTGGTTGGTTGAAGTGGAGGAATGCATCGGGCTTGTTGTGTGATAGAAAAGTACCACTCAAACCTAAGGGAAAATTCTATAAGATGGTGATGAGACTGCATTGCTTTATGACGCAAAATATTGGTCATTAAAAGAGAAGAATAATATTAAGTGTTTTAGAGATGATTATGCTCATTTGGATGAGTGACTTCACTCTTAGAGTCAGGATACGAAACAAGCATATACGTGAAAAGGTTGAAGTAACTTTAGTGTCAGATAAGACTAGGGAGTGTCGCCTTAAATGGTTTGGTCATATAAAACGGCAGCCTTGCGATGAATCAGTTAGGAGGGTAGATGTATTATATTTGGCTTGTGTTAAGAAATGTAGAGGTAGTCCTAAAAAGACTTAGTTAGAAAATATTAGAACTGACATTTCTTTATTAGATTTTAATGAGAATTTGACTCTTAATAAGACACAATGGAGAAAAATGATTCGTGTAGCCGACCTCTCATAGTGGGATAAAGGCTTGATGATGTTGTTGATGTAGTATTTCCATGGTTTTAAGATTTTTATATATTTATAAAGTAAAATTTTTATATCCTATAAATGATGAGTTCATCAAGAGACAATTACAAAGAATTCCAAAGGAAAAGTGAAAAAAAAAGAACAAACAATGTTACAGTTAACATGAGGAGGGCAAGGATTCAAAATACTATTGTCGAAACAAAGATGAATACACTTTAGCAATGCCTATTTTAAAGCTTGGTGAATCTTAGGATGCGACAATAGATCTTTTCTTATTCTTTCCTCACCTGGCAAGTGTCCTTTTATTGTTGTAGTGTTCATTTTTGTTTTTGCACAGTCATACGTGTTCTAATAATCTTGTAGTCTCCACTAACTCAACAAATTCTTAATGTGAAGTGTAATCAAAGATTGGCATACTTCATCCCTCAACCTTGTCAAAAATCTGTAATTTTTCTCAAGTCGGTTACTAATCAATTGTGTATCATATCTTGATAATGATGTAAATTGGGCCTCATATCAAATCACCATATTTATTCCTTGAGTTGGACTTGCAAAACTCTCCTGCATTGTTTGACTTGTAGAAGGAGTAACAAATAAATCTCCGAAAATTTGCTTGAACTCATCGCAAGTGATCAACTTCTTAACATTGCATTCAAATTTCTCCAAATGTTGGCCTTTCTACACATCTGCCTCTCTTGATAGAGTAATGGTGACCAAGGATAGCCACCTATCACATCAACACTTCATGCCATTCAAGTTCTTCTAAATCCTGATGATTCAATCATCAACTATAAAATATATTACTCCCTTAAACATATTTGGCTTTAATATCTGAAACAACTTCAAGTACTTATCAATCTCTACACCACACGAGTACTGGTACTTTGTACTTCAAGTGTTGTTAGTGTTATTAATTTTGAAGGTACAGCAGGCTCAACAAAAAGATTGCATCTTTTTCATCAATATTATCATCATAATTTTCATCATTTATATTTGCATCATATTTTTAATCATCAAAGCTACTTGTTATGGTGAACAGTTATATTTCTTCTATGAGACTATTGCCTTCATTGGTCCAAATGTCTGGGGTATCTTAGGTGTCATATTTGGTTATGCTGATTGACCATTTATTTAGTTAGATACATCCACTTTCATGTTTCTTGCAACTTATGATTTTGTCATTAACTGCATGTTTTTATGCTCGTATTCATGCATAATATATCATATGAAATATGCAATACATGGGTTGTCTCACCACTCAAGTATGAAGATTACACCCATTTAGGCACAATAGTAATAAAATCATTGTTAATTTTCTTTCTCAGTGACACTAAATCTAATCAACTTCCATATGTAATTCTTAGAATTCAACCTGGTTCTGATGCAACTTTTTGACAAGCCTGTTGGCCTCTCAGTAAAAGTTTCACAAATTAACTTGTTCGGATATGACAAAAAAGATGGACAACAAATGTGATATCATGCAGGATTAGTTCAAAATGTGTCATCTAGAATGAAAATCACTCAACCATTGCAGTTTTCCCAAAACGGACTGTGTTGTTATGTTTGATACATCAAAATTACTCTAGATTTGATATTATTGTTAGAATCACCACATGCGGAAAGAAATATTAAAGTTGCGTCGAGACCACTGAATATCTCGAATCCCTTCCTCTCTTTGTCCTTTTGACGTCGCGAGAAGATCGTGCGACGTGGGTCGTGCAAGACAAGTCGCAGACGTGCGACGACGTGCAGGCAGAGTAGTTAATTGATTTTTTTTTTTTTTTACAGAGAAGGGTCAACACGGATATGACAAAAAAGATGGACAACAAATGTGATATCATGCAGGATTAGTTCAAAATGTGTCATCACAATGAAAATCACTCAACCATTGCAGTTTTCCCAAAACGGACTGTGTTGTTATGTTTGATACTTCAAAATTACTCTAGATTTGATATTATTGTTAGAATCACCACATTCGGAAAGAAATATTGAAGTTGCGTCGAGACCACTAAAATTGGCTAACATGAATGCCAAAATATTTATTTGTGCATAAGGTGACGACAAAAAATTGATGCGCATGAGCAATAAAGATTTTTAGAAAGGAAATGCTGACATATATTATTTTTAATATGCTTAATTTAATTAGGTTATTCCAAAAAATCTAAATTTAAAATTAATTATTATGTAAATGAAATTATATTTATTACTGATAATTGAATAAGATATGACATAAAACAGAAACACTCAGTCATTCTCTCATCAGGCCAATTTAAACCCTAGCCTTGCATCACCATGGCTGGCTAGTGGAATTTCCATAGCAGGTATCTTTCAATATCTTATATAAATTTCTATCATTGGTATATATTATGTATTGGTTAGTGGACTTCACTATGGATGCTATAGTAATGCATGAGCAGTAAAATCAAAATGAACTTATATTTAATGTGCACACGAGCACTCACACAAATATTATTACTATCTCCTTGATAATGAACACTAGGTTGCTTTCTCTAAGTTCACGGTAAAAAACTTAGGCATGATGTTTAAGTAGAGGTCAATAATGTAGCACTTAAAAATATACAAAGATAATATTAATATTTACTTAAAATTGTTATCTCTTAATTTTAGCCCCTCGTGAATATCACAAACAGTTTTATGTTCAAGAGGCGTAGAAATTAAGGGACTGCAATTTTAAGTAAATTTTAATAATATATTCGTATATTTTTTAGTGTTACATTATTGCCCTACTTAAACATCATGATTAAGTTGTTTACGGTGAACTTATAGAAGCCAACCTATTTGTATATTGTTAGGGAGATAGTAATGTTATTCGGATATCATTGTTATTTATTGAATTCTTTCAATGGCCTCTAGAATGTTTGATGGAGATCGCAGCCTTTTCATTTTTCTATGTTCTTTTGGCTATCAAGATTGAGGTATTGTAGACATCCAACCCGATAAGTTAAGGTTGACCTATTTGTGTTATTTGGGCTACCTCAATTTGGGAGATAGCATCTTGTAAAATACTTTCTATTATTACTAATAAACATAGCATTCCTTTACATGAGAAAAATAGTGCATTGAACTTTTGATAACTTGGTACCCATCATAATTACTAGTTGGCATTAACCAAATCTTAACTTTAAACCTAAAGGGATTGGTGGAGAGTGTGTTCAAGTTCCACAAGTTATTGGGAAAATAATGCTGTGGATAAATAAATCAATTTTATCAGGAAATAGTCAGGTCATTAATTAAAATTTCTCGGATGTCTTACCTGTCATTTCCTAGGATTCATACTCCTGTAATGTGATAAAGGGGATGTTTTGGTTTTCATAACTTGAGAGGCCCTAAAGAGTTATTCTGGCACCACAAAAGAATTGATATATATATATATATATATTTTAATTTTATCCAAAGAAAGGCAACTCCCCCCCCCCCCCCAAAAAAAAAAAAAAAAAAAAAAAAAAAAAAAAAAAACAAAATTGTTGTACCCTCCCAAAAAAAAAAACAAAGGCTAATGTTGTCGTAACTGGAAACTCTCGTTGTGCCATTTCGTGTACGATGTTCTTTCAATTTCAGCTTTAAGTTTTAATCAATACAATACTTTGTTCCCGTATGCTTACTGAACAAATCTCCCAATGCAACTATAATTCAACTTTATCTTCGTCAGGATTGCTAAAGAATCTAAAATTCCTTCTTTGGGAGCTAACGTCAACAGTGCATGTCATATGATCTTTACAGGTAATCATCAATCTTTCGACAATGGACAAGATTATTTCTCTTGATAAGGTCAGTGTTCAGGTTTCATTTTGTATTATATAGGCACCTCACTTTATCATTATGCCATCTCATATATAGTTTTTTTCTTCCCATAGTTGTCTCTGTACTTCATCTTGTAGTGTCTTTTTTCCTTAAGTGTTGTAGTTCAAATTATAACATATAATAAACTTGGATATATGGTGCTAATTTTATATATTATGTGAATAAATTAAAGGTCCTCAGAAAGTATATTAGAGTTTAAAAAATTAGCATTTATTTGCTTATTAGGTTTTTATAACTGATGTTGTGTCATGCTTGATGGATAGTCGATAGATACATTTGCATCACTTGGAGTATATGATAATTTAGTCAACCCATTCATAGTTTCTATTCGTTGTTTTTCACATGGTTAAGTAAATTATTCTAGCTCAGCTTATCAGAAAATATACTAAAGACTCCAACCATGACAGTGTACTTTCATTCAAAGCATGAATCATACTGTTAAATTTGTTATATCAGATGGCGCATGGACAGTGTACTTCATTTTGTTTAATACTTTTAAATTATAATTGCAATCATTTATTTAGTTTTTCTAGATGATGCCAGTCTATGCACATGAAAACTAATAATGCCTCTTCTAAGTCTAAATGATAGCTCTATCATTGAACCCAACACCTTGTTATTATTTCTAAATTATCCTATTATAACTATTTATAGTAGGAATCTCTCTGTTTATTATTATTATATATTTTTATTATTGGGAGGATTTTTTCTTATTCTATTAACCTTTGTTGTTATGTCCTTTCCTTTAGCCTATATATAAACTCATGCTTGTACTATGTAAACTATTCAATAAAGATGTATCCTCTAATATGGGTTATCTTAAGAATATGTGGAAGAAATGGTACAATTTAAGACAACATGATGCAGGACTACGTATGAAATGTTTTAATTCATTTAGATTTTGCACAATTCTTGATTAGAATAATTAGGAACAAAATTTCTAGCAATTAGAACGACAAGTCAAAACAAATAAGGGGGTCACACCCGATCAGGCAAAAATTGCGTAGCAAGAGTTTTGGAACCAACAAAATAAATTCAGAAAATAATACAATGACAAATAGTAGCGTTCAAAGAAATCCCTAGTCTAACAACGAGAATCAGAAAATATAGAGGCACACTCAAACCCTACGTTTACTAAGCTTGGCAAGAGCAAGGACGAGGGGTCCGTCGTGACTGCAATCAAACCAAGAGAGATTAGACTAAGAGATAAGATCAAGGGGAAAGTAGAACTCGTCAGGGAGTGGTGGAGATCCTCCACTCAACGCCTTCAAAGTGTTCGTCGATAGCTTCCACCAAGGTGTCTAGAATCCGCTCCAAGTAGTCTTCGACGGTGTGATCAATCCTCGGGCTCACGTCAAAGAATGTTGATCATAGGATGTCGATGAAGCCGTTGTCGTCCCAAGTTATGCCGTATTCAGTCTCCGGATCCGCCATTTATGGATAATTGAAGGTAGAATCTCCTTAGCCCTTGATACACCTCTCGAATGGTAGCAAAGAGAAAGAAGTTTCTCTTGCAAGTGGAGAGGGAGCACGCTCTAAGTCCGTTTACCAAAGATATGAAAATAGTTTCAGATTTTGATCCAAAATTCTGAGAGAAATTTCAGATTTCTTTCTTGAAAGAATAGCAGTGGAGAGAAAGGGTTTTGGGGTTTAGAACTCAAGTGAGGAGTTGATGGTGCAAAGGGAAATTGGGGAGAGAAGCAATCTAGGTTGGGGCTTTGAGAGTTTCGGCCAGCAGCAAGGGGGCTCCCAAATTCCTTCCCTAAGGAGAGCTAAGTATTGCGGACAGATTTTGAGAAAATTTGTAAGGGGATTGGTGGGAATATGGGGAGAAATTAGGGAGTTAATTCCTAATTCCACTCTATAGATTTTGGAAAGTGAATAATGGCTTGGGCTTAAAAGAATTTCGGTTGGCAAGGGAGGGGGAATTTATTTCCAAAGAGGTTTAGTAAGATATTAGGAAATAAATCCTAATCATCCATACAGGGGGGCCGACGGCTTTCAAAGCCAGGAGGGGATTTCGGGAGGGGATTTGGGTTGCCTAACTTGGGATTTAGGATTTAGGAAAGCAGTAAATAAATCCAAGGTGAATTTTGAAATTCAAAAGGATCAATTTAGTAACTTTCCAAAAATAGAATTGGTAAGTTAGGAAATATTTTGAAATTCAAATTTATGGGATTTGAATTTTAAACTCACCCAAGTGTTCTCAACCCAAATTAGGAAATGAGGATGGCAAGGGAGAGAGGGCTCACGGGTTGGGTGGGGGGCCGTCGAGTGATGGGTTGGCCGTGGGCTTGGGAAGGTGGAAAGGGGCTCAGGTGGGGAAGTTAGCCGGCGGTTTAGATGGAGGGGAGAATCAAGGAAAACAAATAAGATAACAAGCCACAAACCCGGCCGTCTCCAAGGTTGCTGGTTGGTGCGCAAATCTCCCTCTCCTAGGGATCTCTCTCGATTAAAACTTGCAAGGTCTCACAGTGCTCATGCAAGAGGAAAATTTTAATAAGCAATCATTCATTAACCAAGAAATAATAAGCAAAGGGCTATATATAGCCAAGTACAATGGACTTAACGAAATAAAAGACTAAATTGCCCTTTGGGCTCACACATGACACTTCCTTCTAAAGGGGTACAAACGGAAAGACCAAAATAACACTAAGCAAATAGAAAATACCTAAATAATAAAATAATAGAAATGACTCAGAAATACAAAGACTCGATCGTGGCTGTAGATCGGAGGCCACACCTCTGATTGACCTTCCGGACCATACCATGGTACTCAAGAAGCAAGCAAAGACTTTTGGAATTAACCTTGAGTATGCACATACACTTATAAATTACACTTCTATGTTTTTCTTCTAAATTGCTAATGAATTCCAACTTTTACATATTCTGGAGGATGGACCTCAGCTAGATTAGTAATATGGAAATTGACATAGAACTTTAAAACCATTGCGAAGGATATGACCAAAGAACCTTTTAAAGTGGAAGGACTTCTTCCTTCAAAAAACAAAAAGAAAGGGAAAGCTCCAGACAATTCTGTATAACTGGACTCACCAGAAAAAAGTATCTTTAGGAAGTTATGTGAACATCGAAAATGGCGTAGAGATACCAAAGTAAAATGCTAGGCAGTATACGTTTAACTCTCCCCTAAAAAATGAAAGAAGGATACAAAAAAAAGTTGTAGTGGTGGATCTTAACGTGCTGCATCTAATTTAAAAGCTGTGTAGTAGAAACCACCTCATTTATGATGAAGCTGGTGCTCTCTTAATCAGTTAGGTGCATTGTAATATAGTGGTTGTGTGAGAAAGGCATTGAGGAAACTCAGCAAAGTTTTCTCATTATTGAATTCACATTAACATTTATACTTGACAGGGGTAGGAGTCCTTTGATCATGCTTCATTTACTTGTTGGTTTTCTTTATCATAACTATGCTTGACACCCATTATAGATACCAAATTTCTTGGATGAATCTGCCATTTATTTTTCAACCTCTTTCTTGATAGTAACATAGATCTCAATTATGTCTTTCCATTTCTTTTGACATATTGTTTTGGTCTCCGATGGGATTGCTTGCTAATGGCGGTGATTTCGAGGTTGATACTAAATATCTTAGATGGTTTGCAAACAAAGGCATCAATATTATTCCTAAGAAAAAGCTAATATGAGTTTAAATTTACCTTGGCAATGAGTGCTACTATGAAAAATTCGTCAGAGTCATTTTTTTAAAGCATAATATATTAATTAGATAACAAAAAGAGTACAATCAGGGTGCCGGATAAAATGAAAATTTATAACATCAAATAATTTTTCATTTGGATCCTCTACCTTGAAGCCTTGTGAATAAAGGTGAGTGCTAATATATTTTCATCTAATTTTGGCCTCTTTGGGCATAAAAAATGAAATCTCTTACACATGAGGGAGTCAACATTGAATTCTCTCATCAGCCATCATAAATATTGATGCAAGCAAAAATTAGGAAAAACCACAAATTTTTGTAAGCAAAAGTTACACTTCCTAGGATAATAGAAAATTACATAAAATACTCAAAACTAAACAAAATACGACAAAATACAATTTTTATAAGATAAAAGACTCTTACAAACTTTAGATTGATTGAGAAGAAAGATAAAAGACTCTTACGAACACAAACATAAACATACACCTAAACTTGCATTCTTTGATTGATTGAGAAGAAAGAAACAGGTGGGGTGGTCACGTGCGGCGAGAAGAAAGAGGTTAGAGGCCGAGACGAAGAGAGGATGATGCAAGCAAAAATTTGGGAAGAGCCCCCAAATTTTTCTTCCCAAATTTTTGTAAGCAAAAGTTAGACCTTCCTAGGTAATAGAAAATATACGAATACCCAAAAGACACAAAATACGATAATTGAACAAAAAAAAAAAAAAACTTCACTTTATAATATAAAAGACTTACAAACTTTTGACCCTTACAAACGACAAAATAAAGACAACGACTTTCCTAAAACTGCTTGCCAAATGTTGAGAAAAAGGGTACAAGTGAGGTGGATACTTGCGGGAAGAAGAATGAGATTAGAAACCAAGACAAAGTATAGCTCGCAAGCTATAGAGAGGAGATGAAGATGAAGGACATAGCTCGCAAGCTATTCCAAAGAAAACCCTCAGGTTTTATCTCCAAAAATCAGCCATCAAAACTCTTTAAAACAGTACAAAACAATCATATATATAGGAGGGAAGAAGTAGCCCAAAAGCCCTTAAAACAGCCCTCATAAATTGGAGAAGAGGAAGGCCAAAAGACACCACAGCAGCCCCCAAAAATTGCACAGAAAACAGCAAGGAAAGCCACGGAAAAACACAGCCAATTAAGGGGAAAAGGAAGGCCAAAAGTCACCACAAACAGCCCAAAAAAACTGCACTAAAAATAGGGAGAAAAAGCTACTGGAAACTCAGCCAGCAAGCCACGGGAAGTCTAGCCTGCAAGGGACTCGAGGA